AGAAAATTTCTTTAGACAGTTGTTTTCATGAAACTATTTTTAAAATGTTTTATCAGTTTTTGGAAACTCAGGATCACAAGAAAATCGATTCAATTTTGGTGGCAATTGTGTTTTCAAACTTTTTATTGTATCTTTCGTAACTCAAAAAATAAAAATTGAAAACGAAAAACATGATGCAAACACAATCCCTAAATTGTTGTTGCAACTGACAGTGAAGTAGGTACTTGAAATCCTATTTGTTTTGTTAATAATTGACTTCTAGATTGATGTACATTGGTTTTGGTATGCGTATATGTCTCTACATAAGGATCTAGTTTATGTTGTAAAAAAACTAGCCATGGCTTAAGGTTAACTTGCTTCAACAGATATAAAGGAAGAGTAATATGTTTTTCAAGTATCTAATTTTTGCTAATAGCATATACAATGCAACCACTATTTGTAGGATTACAATGCCAAAACATGAGTCATTCATTGCCCATACCCAATTTTCTTTATTAGTTTCCTTACCTTGATGAGCATTCATTTTACTTCTATTAATGCCCTGCAATTAAAATCCACAGCTTGAGCTCCTCTAGTTATTCCTTGATTATTAATTTATATTGATTTAGTTTTAAGTTAAATTTGTTACAAAGCTTAGATATCATGTTATTTGTTTTTACATTAGTATGTTGAATTTGTATTTTGAACTTATGCTTATGAGAGACTTCCATTTTCAATATTAAACGTCATATTTTTTTCCTTGACAAGTGGAAGTTATACAAAGTAAAGTAAAGATTTCCTTTCTTATTGGGTTGAACAAGTGGAACTATTGCAATTACTTCAAGTTCAAGTTCTTTACAACATTTCCTTCCTCATTGGGTTAAACAACTACTAGCCCTAATTTAAAAATGTTACGAATGTTATTATGGATTTTGTGAAACTGAACGGATGTATTGTTGGCGTTTGTAGCATTTTGCCTTTATATTTATGGAATAAATTTTAAATGGTGTTCATGAATTTTGGGTTTGATTGAATAGATGGAATGCGTTTACCTGATTGTAGATGGTTTTCATGAATGTAGTGATGGAATGCTTCTATGAGTTTACATGATTTTAGATGGTAAATGATGGTTTTGAATTGTATGATATGCATGGTTAAGTGTATATTATGCTTCTATGAGTCTAGCAGCAGCATTTTTAGCAGATGGCAGCAGCAACATGAGTATGGTAACAGCAATATGGAATGCTTCTATGTGTATATTATGCTTCTATGAGTCTAGCAGCAGCATTTTTAGCAGATGGCAGCAGCAACATGAGTATGGTAACAGCAATATGGAATGCTTCTATGTGTATATTATGCTTCTATGAGTCTAGCAGCAGCATTTTTAGCAGATGGCAGCAGCAACATGAGTATGGTTTATTGATTTTTTATTACTTCACCCTAGTACCACCTTTCAAATAAGCACCAGTACAACTATTTGGCCGGGTCCCATATTCCCATGTGTACCAAAAGTTTGGTTAACATAGTAAATTCATATTCACAGGAAAAATACTAACTTCAAGGTGTGAAAAATCCCAGCTTGCCTCTTACCATCTCATCCAAAGTTATAGATGCATTATATGTACGGAAAACCTTTGCTGTGAGACCAGGCATGAGTTCCTTCAGATGAGCATTCAGTTTATTGGTATCCAGCTTGTCAAAAAGATCATCGCCGCCACTTTTTCCTGTAGAAAAATAAGATCATGTGAGCATGTCTTTATCATGAAATACAAAAAGAGATATTTTGATACAAAAGGCCATGCATCCACTAACCAGTTCGGAATTGCTGAATTGCCTTGAACACAGGAAGTTCAACTTCAACCTCATTTTGGTATCTAATTGAATCTTTACCAAGGAAGTCAAACTAGAAAACTAGAAAAGATATTGATTTGTTATTAATTGCAGTTGACGAAAAACCTTTGTATTGTTACATGTTTCTAATAGGTTCAAAATATTCCAGAAACTGATTCCAGTTTCACATCATGCAGTCCCCTTTTTAGTCATTTAAAACTTCAAAATCTCAATATAATAACCCACCAAACTCACAAATATTATTATAACCAAATCCAATTGTAAGTTAAGGTTTAAAACCTTGCTATCTGAGACATAAACGCCATTATACCTTCAGAATATTTGGAGGCATTGGTTCTACATTTTCTACTTTCAATGTGCAGCAACCAATGGTATCAGCTTCATCATCATCCTGCAAGATCGAAACAATTATAAGAATAAAGGCTCCAAAACTTGTTTCGTTTTTTTTGTTATGTTTCAATTTACTTTCTGAGCAAGATCGCAGAGGACTCATCATATATACATAATACATGTGTTTATACATTAAAGCATGCATCTATATAAAGTAAATAAAACACTATTAGCATCTGTAAGATGATCTGCATCACTATGTTTCCTCCACAGAGAAGGTTGTCCACCCCATCCAACAGAGTCTTAACCAATTACCTGTTGTCAGATTCTCAACTATGTTTCTACATTGGGATGAAAAAGAAAGAGGATGTTCCATGAACAAGAGAGTAAAAGATAAACATAAACATGATGAAAACAATTACATACACCATACCTTCTCATTGCCTGCCCTAAGAGCTAGTTTATCAATACGATAGGTGGCAACTGCTATTTGCCGCCTTGTGATATCCTTATTGGCAAAATCCTTAGTATATGCTGCTCTGATGCCTTGTATGTAGTCCTACAATCAAACAACGAATTATAGTTATAGCTAAGGGACGGGAATTTACTACTACATTGTCTAACACAAATAGAAATGGCATTCATCAGATGTGTAGGTAAAATTTTATGTAAAGTACCTTCAACATCCTTAATTTCTCATATTTCTCCTTGTCACTTTGCCCTTTCAAAGAACTGCTAGCTGCCAAGAACACGTATTTGAATTCCTTTGGGTTGATTGGATCATTCCAAAAAGCAAGCCATGTAACTGTGTTGTCATGCCTTATTTCTTTCCATCTGCAGAGATCAAATATTTGTAAAGTTAATTTATTAAAAATCTTAAAACAGAGACACAACTTTGTTCCTATTTTCCAATAAAATTATGGCAGAAACAACCACCTTTCACCAGGGATAGGGCATTCGGGAATTGGGGCATCCTTTCCAATGTTTATGGTAATGTCCCTAGGTTGAATGCGTCTTTTCAGCTTCCCCATCTGAACCACAAAACCAAATATTAACAGCATTATTCCTAATATAATGGAATGGAAGTTTTCTGTCCAAGAAGTAGCCCACCAAACAAGACTCTCATTTTTCCAACCCCACCTCCCTAAAAGGTAAATCCACAACATTTGGGTCATCAGATGCTGGAGGAGGAATGTACCTTAGTTTAATTGAAGATCTACTAGGCATGGTAGCAACCTCAGCCCAGGATTTAGTTGTTTGGTTTGAAGCTACAGCAGAAGAGTCTACTCTCAACGAGTTAGGGTTGCCCCGACCCCCTCGCCCACGACCTCCCCTATACGAACTCTGCCCTCTACCCCCTTGATGCAGGTTCTGTTGAGGAAAACCCTCCATTTCAGCGACTCTACGGACTTGTATATCATTTTCCTTATCGGATTTCGTAGCCAGAGACGACATATTCATACCTTGCAGGTTGTCTACGACGATATCCCCCACAGGTATATATTCCTCTGCTGATGCCGTTGCTAGACCCTTCGCCTTAGTGCGTACCAAACTATCTTGGACATTTCCAAATCTGAGGTTTTCTGAATCAACCATGGCGCTCCATTTCAGGGATGATACCGCTGCAATCTGTGATGTATCCCCCAGATCTAGCCCTAACACGGGCTGTGAAGATAGATCACGACACTCATGTGGATCTACAACCCTTGATTTGGGAGTCAGTGGTAAATCTACCTTGATGGCATCCTTAAGGGCTTGAAGACGACTCGCCAGAGCCGAGAATGATACTGGAGATTGCTCTATAGTTCCTTCCCTATTATTCGCGAGATCTATCAGTTGTTGAAGATCACTCTCAGACAGACCATTTCGCACTGATTTCCCTTCAGGATTTTCACTACTAATATCACTAATATTCATCGCCCTACTAGGATCAGTAACAAGCGTAGCAGTAATTACAGAAAATGGGTCAGAATGCAGTGAAGCAGTCATTATCAACGAGAAGTTGAAACCGTACAAACGAGGAATGTTTCTAGAGAGAAGGCAGACTCTCTCTCTCTAACCCATTTTTTTCAATCCGGGAGTGGCTTCTAGATCGAGCGCCATTTCGGCTGAAGGAGGGAGATGAAATTTCAGACTATTTGCCACGGCATGGCAAACCGTCGCAAATGATCAAATCCATTTACAAAACAACGCCGTTTTATTAAGGGATTTTTTTTTTTTGCGATAGAGCATTCCCGTCACAAATGTCTACTATTTGCGACGGTAAATTTCACCCGTCTCAAAAAATATTTTTGCGACGGTACACAGTGCCGTCGCTAATACTTCCATATCTAAGTGATTTTTTGTTCTGTGCTTATTAGCGACGGGGAAACTGCCGTCGCAAAAAACAGTATTTGAGACGGCTTCATATGCCGTTGCAAAAGACCACTTTTTGCGACAGCATACACACCGTCGCAAAAAATTCCGTGTTATTTGCCCACTTTTCTTGTAGTGAAATTTAGTCTCAAAAAGATAATAATTCATCACTAAATATCTAATTTCGTCACTAAATGTACGACACTAATACTTTTGACTATTAAAATATTTTGCCTTGGAAAAATGATTTTATCCCTAAAATTTTTACCCAAAATCCTAATTTGTAGTGACAACACGAAAATTTTAGACACAATAAAACGACTACGAATGAGTCAGGACAAAGAGACATCAAATTTTGGATAAATTACACTTGTAGTTATTGTAATTTGCACATAGCGTCAATTTGGTCATTGAATATTAGTTGCATCAAATTTACTTTTAAAATTTTTACGTTTTGACAATTTAGTTCAATTGATAACATCCTTTTAGAAACTATACTGAAATCAATATACAAAATAAGAATAAAAGACAGTTTTAATGTCCAAAGTATGCTTTATTTTTCATTTTAATCATTTAAGTTTTAATTTTGTCATTTTGGTCCTCAAATTTATCAATTTGAATTAATTTGGTACTAGGTCTAACATCTGCCTACTTTGATAACATGAATATGAATAAAAGATAATTTTGGTCCCTAAAGTATGCATTTATTGTCATTTTAATCCCTCAAATTTTAAATTTGTCATTTTAGTCCTCATAGTTGTCAATCTAAATCAATTTGATCCTACCTCAAACTGGCAATTTTTAGGACCGAAATAACAAAATTTAAAACTTGAGGGATTAAAATGAAAAGAAATATAAACTTTAGGGATCAAAACTGTCTTTTATTCAAAATAAAATACTTTTTTCCATTATCAATGTAAACAGATGTTATAGATAAGACTAAAATTGACTCAAATTAACAAATTTAAAGACCAAAAAGACAAAATTAAAACTTAAGAGATTAAAATGACAACGTATACTTTAATAATTAAAATTGTCTTTTATAGTTAGGATCATGCATTGTTTCTAACTAGTTTTTGCTTTGGCTTGGAGTACATTGTAAGTTTTACGCTTTAGCATACTTGCATGAGTGTGAGTGTTGCCATGTTCAGCATGCTTGCCACGAGGCTATGTGCTTAATTGCTTAACTGCATGAATGCTTGTGGATGAAGGCTTGGTTGCTTGAATTGGAACAATTTGACGAGTATGAGTTTTAAGCCCACTTTGCGAAGTGGCAAATCATGTTTTAAGCCCACTTGAGGTGGAAAATTCGCGTAGCCCACCTAAGGGTGGCAATTTCAAACCATTTTCGAAAACACACATGAGTTGTTTTGTCCCAATTCTTGCGATTTAGTCTATACTTGCTTGCGCGCGCGTCACACAGTAAAGTTAGCTAATAAATCAGAATAAGAACATGTGTTTATAAAACAACATATCATGATGAGTAGAGGCTGATCTTTGATCGGGCGAGCGGGGGTGCTCATTTCAGGACCTTCCCCTCTCGTACTCAAGTTCTCGAGCCGAGGCAACTTTGGTGATGATAGACACGTGACCTTTGGCATGAGTCATGGTTTCCAAAATTTTCCAAAAAAAAATATTTAGGTGGTGACTCTGTAATCTAGCAAAGCAGTCTAGTTTTGGCATTATTTGATTCAAAATCGATTTTTCAAAATGATTTCCCGAATTGGACTGTTTGGTGTTTATCAGTCTCACATTGCACTTTCTGAGACTAGATTCAGAACCATGACAAGAGTCTGAATTGTAGGACCAATTCGAGCTCTCCAAAAAGGGGGCGTGAAGAAAGTCGAGCTACAGTTTTTGGCGACTCTACTGGGGATTTAGAGAACTTCACTAAAACTCAGGATATGTTGTTTTATCTACATTTATGTGTTTCTTTGCATTTGCATTTGCATCGGTGTGCCTAAATCACAGTGTTTGCCATCTGCTAATCCTGAACGGTTTGCCGAAGGCTTGCTTGGAAAAGCGTGCCATAAGGCTGACCGGTTGCGGGCTCTACCACGATGGGAACACAAACACTGGTTTTTACCGGGGCACCCTCTTTGATCATTCGACCTAGTGCATATCGAAAACTGTAGTGACCATTCCAAGCTAGGACAGGTTGCTTACCTGATTATAGGTTGTTTGAAACCGTTGTGTGCGTAGTGAAACCCTAGCTCCTGACGAAATAGGACAGGAAAAAATTATAGATGCATTATATGTATGGAAAACCTTTGCTGTGAGACCAGGCATGAGTTCCTTCAGATGAGCATTCAGTTTATTGGTATCCAGCTTGTCAAAAAGATCATCGCCGCCACTTTTTCCTGTAGAAAAATAAGATCATGTGAGCATGTCTTTATCATGAAATACAAAAAGAGATATTTTGATACAAAAGGCCATGCATCCACTAACCAGTTCGGAATTGCTGAATTGCCTTGAACACAGGAAGTTCAACTTCAACCTCATTTTGGTATCTAATTGAATCTTTACCAAGGAAGTCAAACTAGAAAACCAGAAAAGATATTGATTTGTTATTAATTGCAGTTGACGAAAAACCTTTGTATTGTTACATGTTTCTAATAGGTTCAAAATATTCCAGAAACTGATTCCAGTTTCACATCATGCAGTCCCCTTTTTAGTCATTTAAAACTTCAAAATCTCAATATAATAACCCACCAAACTCACAAATATTATTATAACCAAATCCAATTGTAAGTTAAGGTTTAAAACCTTGCTATCTGAGACATAAACGCCATTATACCTTCAGAATATTTGGAGGCATTGGTTCTACATTTTCTACTTTCAATGTGCAGCAACCAATGGTATCAGCTTCATCATCATCCTGCAAGATCGAAACAATTATAAGAATAAAGGCTCCAAAACTTGTTTCGTTTTTTTTGTTATGTTTCTATTTACTTTCTGAGCAAGATCGCAGAGGACTCATCATATATACATAATACATGTGTTTATACATTAAAGCATGCATCTATATAAAGTAAATAAAACACTATTAGCATCTGTAAGATGATCTGCATCACTATGTTTCCTCCACAGAGAAGGTTGTCCACCCCATCCAACAGAGTCTTAACCAATTACCTGTTGTCAGATTCTCAACTATGTTTCTACATTGGGATGAAAAAGAAAGAGGATGTTCCATGAACAAGAGAGTAAAAGATAAACATAAACATGATGAAAACAATTACATACACCATACCTTCTCATTGCCTGCCCTGAGAGCTAGTTTATCAATAAGATAGGTGGCAACTGCTATTTGCCGCCTTGTGATATCCTTACTAGCAAAATCCTTAGTATATGTTGCTCTGATGCCTTGTATGTAGTCCTACAATCAAACAACGAATTATAGTTATAGCTAAGGGACGGGAATTTACTACTACATTGTCTAACACAAATAGAAATGGCATTCATCAGATGTGTAGGTAAAATTTTATGTAAAGTACCTTCAACATCCTTAATTTCTCATATTTCTCCTTGTCACTTTGCCCTTTCAAAGAACTGCTAGCTGCCAAGAACACGTATTTGAATTCCTTTGGGTTGATTGGATCATTCCAAAAAGCAAGCCATGTAACTGTGTTGTCATGCCTTATTTCTTTCCATCTGCAGAGATCAAATATTTGTAAAGTTAATTTATTAAAAATCTTAAAACAGAGACACAACTTTGTTCCTATTTTCCAATAAAATTATGGCAGAAACAACCACCTTTCACCAGGGATAGGGCATTCGGGAATTGGGGCATCCTTTCCAATGTTTATGGTAATGTCCCTAGGTTGAATGAGTCTTTTCAGCTTCCCCATCTGAACCACAAAACCAAATATTAACAGCATTATTCCTAATATAATGGAATGGAAGTTTTCTGTCCAAGAAGTACCCCGCCAAACAAGACTCTCATTTTTCCAACCCCACCTCCCTAAAAGGTAAATCCACAACATTTGGGTCATCAGATGCAGGAGGAGGAATGTACCTTAGTTTAATTGAAGATCTACTAGGCATGGTAGCAACCTCAGCCCAGGATTTAGTTGTTTGGTTTGAAGCTATAGCAGAAGAGTCTACTCTCAACGAGTTAGGGTTGCCCCAACCCCCTCGCCCACGACCTCCCCTATACGAACTCTGCCCTCTACCCCCTTGATGCAGGTTCTGTTGAGGAAAACCCTCCATTTCAGCGACTCTACGGACTTGTATATCATTTTCCTTATCGGATTTCGTAGCCAGAGACGACAGATTCATACCTTGCAGGTTGTCTACGACGATATCTCCCACAGGTATATATTCCTCTGCTGATGCCGTTGCCAGACCCTTCGCCTTAGTGCGTACCAAACTATCTTGGACATTTCCAAATCTGAGGTTTTCTGAATCAACCATGGCGCTCCATTTCAGGGATGATACCGCTGCAATCTGTGATGTATCCCCCAGATCTAGCCCTAACACGGGCTATGAAGATAGATCACGACACTCATGTGGATCTACAACCCTTGATTTGGGAGTCAGTGGTAAATCTACCTTGATGGCATCCTTAAGGGCTTGAAGACGACTCGCCAGAGCTGAGAATGATACTGGAGATTGCTCTGTAGTTCCTTCCCTATTATTCGCGAGATCTATCAGTTGTTGAAGATCACTCTCAGACAGACCATTTCGCACTGATTTCCCTTCAGGATTTTCACCACTAATATCACTAATATTCATCGCCCTACTAGGATCAGTAACAAGCGTAGCAGTAATGACATAAAATGGGTTAGAATGCAGTGAAGCAGTCATTATCAATGAGAAGTTGAAACCCTACAAACGAGGAATGTTTCTAGAGAGAAGGCAGACTCTCTCTCTCTAACCCATTTTTTTCAATCCGGGAGTGGCTTCTAGATCGAGCGCCATTTCGGCTGAAGGAGGGAGATGAAATTTCAGACTATTTGCCACGGCATGGCAAACCGTCGCAAATGATCAAATCCATTTACAAAACAACGCCGTTTTATTAAGGGATTTTTTTTTGCGATAGAGCATTCCCGTCACAAATGTCAACTATTTGCGACGGTAAATTTCACCCGTCTCAAAAAATATTTTTTGCGATGGTACACAGTGCCGTCGCTAATACTTCCATATCTAAGTGATTTTTTGTTCTGTGTTTATTAGCGACGGGGAAACTGCCGTCGCAAAAAACAGTATTTGAGACGGCTTCATATGCCGTCGCAAAAGACCACTTTTTGCGACAGCATACACACCGTCGCAAAAAGTTCCGTGTTATTTGCCCACTTTTCTTGTAGTGTCATAAGCTGTAGTAAAGCGTACTATAACAGTACTACTATTCACAGTGCAGTAGCGGTGCGCTTGTCTCTCCCGGTTTATGACCTACACACATGAACAACTTGCAGGTTAATTCTTTTCCTTCGTTAAATCATTTTTGAATTCGTTTCGCTTCAATTAAATTTATAGATATCATAAAGGTCTTAAATACATATTTCAACAATATTAGAGGGTCAAACATGTAAAACGGAGCAACTCGTAAAATTCAGCATGGGCCGCACGTGAGGCTGTGAGCCCCGCACATGCGGCAGTGATGCTCCGCACGTGCCTTTTAGACAGTAGACAAAACCTCAAAGTCCCCTGTTTCCCGCACGTGAGGCCATGACTCCCGCACGTGCGGCAATCCTACACAGTTCCAATCCGAAATTTCACACAAAACCCCACCTTTGGATAAGTTTTTACATGGTTCCAAATAGATCCAACAAGCATGGTAATAAAAGTTACAACCACATAACAACCTTGAAACCCATAAACATAATTCAATTCATGAGATTGTTAACTTCACACCCACATAGACATATGTACATACATGGCCATGTTCATATATTTTTGTTTCAAGCATGTCAAGGAGAAATAAAGTGTAATTTCCTTTACATCGTTCAACTTATACAAACAACAGCATAAAGAAAACACTTATTCAATTCTTTGGGTGATATATACACACCTACACAACAACATAAACCTGGATTTGTATGAATACCCAAGAAATTCTTCACCCATTTACAAGAGAGGAGTCATTTAAAATAAAACCTCCATACCTTGAGCTTTAGGATCTCTACAACTCTATTAACTTCTCAATCTCTCCCCTGTAAAACTTCTTCTCCTTTCCCTAATTCCCTTCCTAACCTTTTCAGGATTCTTGAGTTTTTTGATTCTAAGTCAAAAGCCCAGAGAACCATGTATATATATATAAAAGTGAATGAGGACAAAAATCAATCGTTTAATCATCCCAAATTGAAATTTCACAGAAATGCTTATTATTACCTAAAAATTATGATGATCTCAAATATGAAATCAATTTTGGATTATCAAGCCTCTAGGGCTCTCAATTTCTGATTCAAACACTTTAATTGTGACAGATACTTCCTTATTAAACAGATATGAACCAATATTCATACATTTTTCTTAATTAAACCTCATTTCACATGAAATTTCATAGTAAGCAATTAAGTGCACAGAATAAAGGATCGAAAAGATACCAGAAACAGATATGAGGGTCGGGTTATTACACTCTCCCCCCCTTAAATAAGTTTGGTCCCTCAAACTTGTTTTACCTCAAGATCAAAACATATGTGGATATTGGTGTTGCATCTCCTCTTCTTTTTCCCAAGTTGCTTCGGTTCCGTAATGTTCCTACCATTCAACTTTTACCATTGGGATCTCTCGATTTCGTAATTGCTTCACTTGTTGGTCCAGAATTTGAATTGGTTTTTCCTCATAAGTTAACTTGTCCTCTAGCACAATTTGGTGATAATCTATAGCATGTGACGGGTCCGGAAGGTATCCTCGAAGCATAGAAACATGGAACACATTATGGACTTGACTCATATTTGGTGAAAGGGCAACCCGGTAAGCTACTGGACCCACTCTTTCTAAAATTTGAAAGAGACCAACATATCGGGGTGTTAACTTACCTTAGCCCTTTTTTCAAATCTCGGATGTCCTTTCATTGGGGTGACTTTCACGAACACATGGCTATCCACTTCAAATTCCAAATTCCTTCGTCGGTTATTTGCATAACTCTTCTATCTACTTTGAGCAGTTTTCAATCTTTCCTGAATAATTTTAACCTTTTTAGTTGTCAGTTGAACAATTTTGAGCCCCAGCAATGATCTATCCCAATTTCAGCCCAACACACGGGGGAACGACACGGTCTTCCATAAAGAACTTCATAAGGTGCCATCTCAATACTTGAATGGTAACAATTATTGTATGCGAACTCTACCAACGGTAAATGGGTTTCCCAACTTTCTTGAAAATTTAGCACACACATTCGGAGCATATCTTCTAGAGTTTGTATTGTTCTCTCGGATTGATCGTCAGTCTGAGGGTGAAAAGCTGTGCTGAACTTTAATTCTGTACCCATTGCTCCCTGTAGACTCTACCAGAATCTAGATACAAACTTCGGATCTCTATCTGATACTATTGAAACTGACACACCATAGAGTCTCACGATTTCATTCACATAGATTACAGCAAGTTTGTCTGCATTGTACTGAGTTTTCACAAGTAGGAAATGGACAGACTTAATTAACCGGTCTACAATGACCCATATAGCGTTCATACCCCGAGGAGTCCGTAGTAACCCTACCACAAAATCCATGGTCAGACGTTCACATTTCCACTCCGGGATTGGAAGGGGTTGCAATAACCCTGCCGGTCTCTGATGCTCTGCCTTTACTTGCTGACATTGAAAATCTCGAGGCGTGTGCTTCTTCCATCAATTTTCGTTTAACTTTTGATACATTGGGAACACATAATCTACCTTGAAATTTGAGTACTGAATTCATCAAATTGAATCCCGGTCTCGGTTTTTTCCCTAACTCGTCACAGATCTTCTTTAAAAATTCATCTTCCATTTGTCTCTGCTTAATTTCTTCAATTAATGTTGGTTGGACTGTTATTGTTGCAACCATGGCATCCCGTTCATGTATCACAAAGTCTATATTCATTTTCTCCAATTCCCATAATAATTCCTTTTGCCCAGTAAACAGATTTTCCAGATTTCCCACACCTTTCCGACTAAGTGCATCTGCAACTGTATTGGCTTTACCAGGATGGGTAATGGACCTGCAAATCATAACCCTTAATAAGTTCCAACCATCGTCGCTGTCGTATATTCAACTTTTTTGGGTAAAAAGGTACTTGAGGCTCTTATGATCGGTATAAACTTCACAAGTAGTACCATACAGATAGTGTCGCCATATCTTCAAAGCAAAAACTGCCACTGCTAGCTGAAGATCATGTGTGGGATAGTTCTTTTCATGGAGTTTGAGTTGTCGGGAAGCATAAGCGATGACTCTCCCATTTTACATAAGTGCACAACCAAGTCCTCCTCTTGTAATATCCGGCTAATCCCATAAAACTACGCACCTCAGTCACATTAGTAGGAGTTGGCCAGTTCATGATCGCTTCAATTTTATGTGGATCAACAGAGACTCCATCTTTTGTTATAGCATGCCCCAGAAAGGCCACCTCATGTAGCCAGAATTCATATTTCTTTAGCTTTGCATACAGCTTCTTTTCTCAAAGTGTTTGAAGAATTAAGCGAAGATGATTCTCATGAGCTTCCGCATTCTTCGAGTAAACGAGGATATCATCAATAAAGACCACCATGAACTCATCCAAATAAGGCTTAAAGACTCGGTTCATCAAATCCATGAAAGCTGCTGGTGCGTTAGTAACTCCAAAGGGCATGACCAGAAATTCGTAATGACCGTATCGAGTTCGAAAAGTTGTCTTCTCAACATCATTAGCTTTAACTTTCAATTGGTGGTATCCAGACTGTAAATCAATTTTAGAAAAGATCTATGCCCCTTGTAACTGGTCAAACAAATCGTCGATCTGCGACAATGGGTACTTATTCTTGATTGTTACTTTATTCAACTCCCTGTAGTCTATACATAATCGGAGTGTTTTGTCTTTCTTTTTCACAAACAGAACTGGTGCACCCCATGGAGAAACACTCGGATGGATAAGTCCCTTATCAAGCAAATCCTGTAACTGAATCTTTAATTCTTTCATCTCAACTGGTGACATCCTATACGGAGTCTTAGAAATAGGTTGAGTTCCTGGCGCCACTTCAATTGTAAACTCAATCTCATGGTCTATTAACTGCCCTGGCAATTCTTCCGGAAAGACATCCAGAAATTCACGAACAACTGGAATCAGATCAGTATTTCCATTCATCACTTGCCCTTCTAAAACACTGCATAAAAACCCCTGACACCCTTTCTGAATTAGTTTACAAGCCCTTGCTGTAGAAATCAAATATGGCGGAGAAGTTACACCCTGTCCCTGAAAGGTAGATTCCGATTGTCCTGAAGGATGGAAGCTGATTTTCTTAGTCAGACAGTCTATAGTTGCACCATATTCACTCAAGCAATCCATACCCAGAATAATATCAAAATAGGTCATGTCAAGAGGTAACAGATTCGTATATACCCGGATATCCCCAATTAGGAGTTAACAAGAGTTATATACAGAGGTACAAATCATAGGATCCCCCAAGGGTGAGGACACACATAACATATAAGATAATACTTCTTCAAATTTATCTAAATTTTGCGCAAATAATTTTGACACAAAAGAATGGGCATAGCTAGAATCAAACAATACATGAGCAGAATGTCCATGAACAATAAAGGTACCTGACACTACTGTCGCCGCATTTTGCCCATCCCCTGGAACCAATGCAAACACTTTGCCTTGCCTCGCAACGTTTTTATTGTTAGTAGGCT